TTCATGGGCTGCATGTCCGGGGGCGGGAGGGGGGATCTGGATGTCCTGGGCGAGGGGGTTTGGGCGCCCGTGGGCCTGTCTCATGTCCCCCTCCCCCACAGGTCCCCGCCAGCCGAGGCCTCCGCATGCCGCCACTGCTGCTGTGTCCTGTGTCCCGCTCCGTGTCCCGTGTCGTGTCCGGCTGCTGCTCACGCTCGCTCTGCGCCCCCACCCCCACACGGCGCGGCTGAGGGGGCGGCCCCCGGCGGGGTGAGGGGGGCATGGGGGCTGTGCCTGGCCTGGAAGCGGGCACCATGGGAGCCCCCTACCCCCCCTCCGCCCCCCTTGATTTATCAATGCCTTAAGCAGACGTCGTGGTGAATGTCCAGGGCTGGATCAGGCCCCCCACCCCAATTCCCCACCCCCCACATGGGATGTCTCAAGGTGGGGGGGCTGCCACCTTGATTCTCCTTGACTTCTCCCCCCCAAGGGAGCTTAGGGGGGCTGGGAAGGTCCCTGGAGCTCGGGGGGGGCAACCCCCCCATTCTGAATTAGCCTGGGGGGTTCCAATCCCTGGTTTAACATGAGGCTCGAACCCTCAACGCTTGAAGCTGCTACATCCCCGTCACCCCGAGCGCCCCCACCCCGGGCTGCGCTCCCTGTGTGTCCCCCGTCCTGTCGCCACTTCCGATTCACCCAAAGCAGAGCTGGGGGGTGGTCGGGGGGGGGGTCATCTCCAGGCCCTGGGCATGAGCAGACCCAGGGCCCAGCTCCCCCCTTGCTCTCCCCCCCCCACCGTCCCGTGTGCTGGGATCACACCAAATGTTGCATGTTGGACTCCCCCGAGTGTTTATTTAAGCAGGAATTATAATCGTTGTCACCGTCATAGTACACCAATAAAGGAAACCAGTCGAACAGCCCTGGTGCTGAGTGTTGTGGGGACTTGGAGGGGCTGGGGAGGGGGGCCCAGCTCCCCCCTTGCTCTCCCCCCCCCACCGTCCCGTGTGCTGGGATCACACCAAATGTTGCATGTTGGACTCCCCCGAGTGTTTATTTAAGCAGGAATTATAATCGTTGTCACCGTCATAGTACACCAATAAAGGAAACCAGTCGAACAGCCCTGGTGCTGAGTGTTGTGGGGACTTGGAGGGGCTGGGGAGGGGGCCGGGCTGGGTTCAGACAGCGCCTGGTGCGCTGGGGCCAGCCCGGGGAAGTGGGGGGCTCCCCAGTGCGGGGTGGGGCTGGGGGGCGGGCAAGCCGGGGTACGAAAGGCCAGCTCTGCCCCTCGTGCCCCCGTTTTCCCAGCTGTGAAATGGATCCAGAGGGCTCTGGGTGTGGTGGGAGGGGGCGGGGGCAGGAGGGGCATCTCCGGCTCTCGCTGTGCCCTCCCTCCCTGTGGAGTCATCGTCCCCCAAATTGGGGAATGACACCTGGGCACATCTGGACATGGCGCTGGTCATGCCTACACACGTGTGCATATGTG